TGAGTAGCACTATTATAGAGAGGTAATTTTTCAAAGAGTGTACGATGATGGCCGCCAGTTTTATAGGTAAAGTGCTATTATAGAGGTAAAATATAATACGAAAAATCGGTTTCAAAGATATTTGGCTGTTGTAGTAAAATGCTGTTATAGAAGATGGCTATTATAGAGAGGTAAGATCCTGAATGTGCTGGCAGTGACAATTCCACTCAATCCCTCCTTGAAAGAAACAAGAATAGAGAGGAAAATAAGGGGAAAAAAGAAAAGAACAAAGGCTTGCTGATTAAAAATATAAAAAAAAGAAAGGGCCGAAGGTACTTAATCCATGTAATATACACCTTTTTATATGTCGATTGTACATCTCCTTATGTATGGAGACATCAATCAATTTCTGATGGAAAGCTAGGACAAACATATATTTATATGCATATCATTGATTCTGCCAACATCTCTTGAGAGCTATACCATTAGATGCATCCTTTAAATAGAAGTATTGATAAAGCTCCAGTACACCATTCCCAACTGTGAAATTAGTACGGGACATCAATCAATTTCTGATGGAAAGCTAGGACAAACAGATATTTATATGCATATCATTGATTCTGCCAACATCTCTTGAGAGCTATACCATTAGATGCATCTTTTAAATAAAAGTATTGATAAAGCTCCAGTACACCATTCCCAACTGTGAAATTAGTACGGGACATCAATCAATTTCTGATGGAAAGCTAGGACAAACAGATATTTATATGCATATCATTGATTCTGCCAACATCTCTTGAGAGCTATACCATTAGATGTATCTTTTAAATAAAAATATTGATAAAGCTCCAGTACACCATTCCCAACTGTGAAATTAGTACGAACGTTTCTTCCACTTCTCTTTCCTTATCCACAATACATTAAAAAAGTTTGACATGCAAATGAATCTGCCGTAATCTTGGCCTCAGAATATGTGGGGTGTGTGTTTATGCTTATTTAGGTTCTTTTATAGTAACTGCTATTTTTTTCATTTTCCAGCTTTATGCCCATTCATAGCGGGGCAGAGACAGACCTCCGCTTTGTATATTGTGCAGGTAGATAATATCTTTGCATTGAGCTTATTGAACTTAAACACTTTAGAATGAAAATTGATTATCGCTGACCTGCATACCAGCTGCAATCTCTTCCATGTTGGAAAACTGGAGTGGCATTGACAAGGAGAAAGCCAAAGAGTACATTATAAACTGTCAGGTATACAGAGCATGGCCATCTGTTTTCACAAAACTTCTTATTCTGTATCTTTGATATAGTTACCTCTCCAAAGTGAACTTACATAAGTTAATGATCGGTCAATTTGGCACATCCAAATTAATTCCATTTACCAACATCACCCATGTTAAGCATTTATGTTTATATAGTCGAGTTGCGCACAAGTTTTCCGTGACGATAACTTTATTAGGGGAAAAAAGATGTTCATCTTACAGATAACATTTAAATATTCACATCCTTATTTTGAAAGTTTGGATTTTATTCAGTTTTTGTGCATTCTCATTGCAATTTAAAGCTGCCACCTGAAAAACCTAACTTTTCAGAATTAAAGTCTTAGAAATGGTTAAGTATTATAAATTACACCCTTATGATAAATAAGTTTCTCATTCCTCAGATTTTAATGATAAAGTGTCCATGTTATAGAGCATCATTTTAGTTTTCATATCTCTAGCGTTTTCTTTTGCTATGATTCCTGGTGATGCTTCTCATGTTAAGCACTGCTATCTGGTTCATGCAGTCATACGATGGTGGTTTTGGTTTAACTCCTGGTTCAGAATCACATGGTGAGTGAATATTACCTCTAATGCATTTATAAAGATCCCTAATTTTTAAATGCGAGTGATGTCCTACTTTTTTGAAGTCTCATAAGGATCTTTTCATTTGAAGATTGTAATTACTAAAAACTGTTTCTTTCCTATTTGGGGTGGGGGAGCTGCACAAATAAACCGTTGCAAGTTTATTTGAGAAAAAATAAAATGGGTGATAGAATTAAAGGATATCGGGCAAGCAGTTATGGCCCCCTTCCGGTAGCTGAAGCGTATTCGTACCAGTCAATGTGAGGATGGCCCCCTTCTTGTACTGCTTATCTTTCATATCTCTGTTGTGATCTTCTTTTCCTTTTTTCTACTTGGGGTAACTTTAAAGTGGTAAGAGTGAAAGATGGTTGTTGCAAATCTATCTTTTATCCTTCTATATTTAGTTTCAGTTGTGGAAAACCCTGTCAATATTTGTAGTTATCAGATTTATAGAGTGGCTATTGTTTTGTCTCTGTTTTGAGCCACACGGGGTGGGAAAAGAAAACATAAAGGGGGCTCCAAATGAATGTATCTGTCATTTCTTCTTCTAGTTCTTTGTTTTTTTAAGAGAAAGCTGAAAGTGCAATGTGGTAGCATGCTCTTAAATCATCTTTCAGTTTTCTTACGTGGTAATATGATATTTCTCATAGATGGTGATTGTTTAGTATCACAGGTGGTGCCACTTATTGTGCGGTTGCATCTCTCAAATTGATGGGATTAATTGAAGAGGATATATTGTCAAAGAGTGTATCCTCTTGCTTCATAAATGTGCCCATGCTTCTAGACTGGAGTCTACAGGTATACTTACTTCTAATAGTGTGTGACAGGTTCTTATATTGCTATGCTAGACATATTTTTCAGTATTCCTCCAAAGAAAAAATATTACAATTTTAAAATAGCGGATGATTATAACCAAAAAAAAAATTGTAACGTGGAACAATGTAAGGATATAGGAGGACCTTTTTTTCAAAAGAAAAAAAAGGATGATTTTTTGTACAAGTCCATTCCTCATATCTGGTCCTTTGACTGATAAATGGTCGATATGATCTACTGTCCTTTTTGCCTCTTTGAGCCGAGGGTCTTTCGGAAACAACTCTCTATACCCTTGGGGTAGGGGTAAGGTTTGCGTACACACTACCCTCCCCAGACCCCACTAGTATGATTTAACTGGGTTGTTGTTGTTGTTGTTGTTGATCTACTGTCCTGCAATTGGTGTGACTCAATCTTTCTCACAGAGACAGGCCACTGATGGTGGTTTCCAAGGTAGACCAAACAAAGCTACTGACACCTGCTATGCTTTTTGGTGAGTTCAAATAGCTTTTTATCTTCAACTGTCATCACTTCTGTTTCTTCTGGCTTGACAAATTGACGCCCTTGTTCAGGGTTGGAGGAGTTCTAAAGATCTTAGGGGCTCACAAGTTCATCAATTATGGAGGTTTACGTAAATTTCTTTTCGCCTGTCAATCCCAGGTGCTATTGACTTCTCCTCTTTCTTTTCTTTCTTTGAACATGCTTTTAAATGCAACTGCAGTTCTAGAGCTTCCAAATTGTTCTTTTTCTTTGGGACTAATAAAGATCTAATGTCTGAGCTCGTATGCCCTTCCTATTATATGATGTCCAAGAACTTTTATCAACCACTGGAACCTCATTGCTACGGATTGTTAAAACTGTTTCACTGCCAATATTTGTGTACCATCATCGTTGTGGTTTGCTTTTAGATATTTTCACCACCTAATTCAGGCATTTCCCTGGAAGAACTTTAAGTTACTAAAATTTATGCCCCCTTTTTTTGTTCTACAGTATGGTGGTTTTGGCAAAATTCCGGAGCAGCTGCCAGATCTTTATCACGCCTACTATGGCTTTTGTGCATTTAGTCTGTTAGGGGAGGCAGGCCTCAGTTCAATCTGTGTTGAACTGGGTATAACAAATGGTACACGCACTAGACTTTGATCCAAATGTTATTTGGGCATCTGCAGCCACTACGAATTTCGCCTCTCATGATTGCAAAGGTTTCCATGCGCAGGTATAATTAAGTTCCACTCCTCGGTTGAGTGGAAATAAAAATTAGAAGTTTGGTAATTATGATACTTTCTACCTACTTGTTTTCACCATTTTCCCTATATACTAAAAATATAGTTTATTTGATTTTTGACATAGATGATATAACTTTACTTTCACTTTGTTATGTTCAATCACATTTGCTTGGTTCCCCTAATTGTTTTAGCATTTTTTAGCTTCTACTTCGAGACGTTAATGGTACTTACCGGCTTGTCACAATATTTTACTTTTTCTGCCTGTTTAGGTCTGGATTTTGATCATGGGTTGAGCTTTAAACTTGAAATTACTGATTAGCAGTTATATATCTATACATGTTCAATAGGAATGTTAATATTTATCGCAAAACTTGTGGTGCATGTTCAGATGTTGCTTTAGCTATGTCAAAAACCTATCAAGGTGTGGTGCTTTACTTTCTAATTACACTTTTAAGCTTCTCATGGCCCCATTACGTGGGACTACATTTGTCAATCCTGGCTTTGTGACTTGAAGTATGGAAATAAATGTTAGCTAGCGGTTTATATGTTCAAAAGTATTAGAAGAATTAACCTAAACAGTCAATCACCCAACCGCTCAAACAAGAAAATAGCTGGTATATACATATATATAATATGTATAATTTATTTATAATGTGCGTATTGTCACACCTCCTTTTTCGCCCGCGCCGCCTCAAAAGGGCGCGGAAGGGAGTTTTTTCCAATTAAAGGACAATCGAAACAGGATTTATTTATTTATTCAGAGTCGTCACTTGGGAGATTTAGGGTGTCCCAAGTCACCAATTTTAATCCCGAATCGAGGAAAAGAATGACTCTGTATTACAGTCCGCGAACCAGAAATCCGGATAAGGAATTCTGTTAACCCGGGAGAAGGTGTTAGGCATTCCCGAGTTCCGTGGTTCTAGCACAGTCGCCCAACTGTTATATTCGGCTTGATTATCTGATATAATACATATTATAAACTTATGTGCAAATTTTATCCTTTAGCCGCTTTTATTATTTTTATTTATTGTTATTATTTTACGGAGAATTGCAACATTGTGAAAACGTATTTCAAACCACGTCGCAATCAATGCACCCGTGGTTATCGAC